GAACCGAGTGCAGATGGTGGTACTGAGTGGACATCACAAAGTTGCTGAGAAAGGTAACGTTACACCCTTTGGCTCTACTTCCTCCACATCTGAAGCGAACTTTTCATTGCATCATTTCCAGAAAGAGCACGAGAAACGGAAGAGGGTGGGGCTGCGTGGGGGAGGGGTCACATGGCCGGGATATGGAAACAGCTGATTCGTTCTGGAAGGTTATTCAGTTCATGCGATCAGCTGATGGCTATGGTGACGTTTCTTAAAGTCACAGGACCGGTATTGGATTTCGCTCGGTGCGCTGAGAGGCACCCGGTGACACATTGAATATGCATGCAGTGGGAAAGGGCACGGCTGAATCGCAGGCTGCCACGGCCAGCTGACCTTCTAAAGGGCGTTGCGTGATTGCACTGTCTAAAATTTCACGTATGACTTCTCCTCGAAGTAAATTGTTTTGCTTTGTCCGATGCCCCATAATCACCATAATCATGTGACAGGAAACGTGTTATCTCTGCAGAAGAGAGTACTGTGACCACTGACACTGTGGATAAGAGCATTAAATAACCAAGGAACTACAGAAAAACAGTTATGGGAATGTCATTCATCAAACCGAGGTACCAGGAGCTGTTGTGTTTTGGGTTTGATTTCAGCTTTTGCTCTCAGGATGAAATCCAACCAATGTCTCCTCACAGAGTCTCCTTTTTGTTTAAATATTAATTGCATTCTGTCATAATGAGAGCGTTTCTAAAATGACAGGCACCATCAGTAAGGTGATGACGGGGAGTGGAAGTTACGATGTTGCACAGTTAAACACAAGAGGCAAGAGCCAAGTCCCCAGTATCATCGTGGAAGAGCGAAATCTCAGCCTCCTCTAGCAGTGTGAATGTTTCCTGGTGTGGGTACAGTGCAGTCTTCTCCGATCTCTCAGCACATCATATGGAAAAGCACAATGCAAGTCAACATACTAGAAAAAATTCACCCCAACATATAAATCACACTAATTCATTTAGTATTAATAAACTACTGAACTTTTCTAGCATTCATTCATGTATTTAGTTTATTACTGATTAAGTAATAAAATTTTATTTAGGTATTACCAATTATGCAAAAATCATGTTGAATTGTAAAACGATGTATACATTTTGAATATATTTTAAATACCTGGTGTTTGTTTTTAGGAGATTCATATAGTTTCCCTTTATGGTTTGGTTTTTGAATCCAAGATGTTTGGCTTTCATAAAAAGCTGAATTGTTGAAAGGTCAAGAATATCTGACCAAACAACTTCCAGGCTATATATTAGAGGACGCCCCCACCCCACAGTGATGTACAAACACTTAGTGCACTGGCAGGGGGGGTTGGGGCCTTGAGTTTGTGTATATATAGCAGGTTCCTTGTCACAGAGGAGAGCCTTGCTGACGATGGCAGCTCCGTCTAGAAGAGCACTCCCGGCAGAGCTCACGCTTCTGGAACTTTCCAGACTTGCTGGCCTCGTTTCGCTCGTAAAACGGCGTTGTCTCTGTGCCAAATGCACGGGCTGAAAGAGAACGCTCTGCGTTATTGTGTTCTGGATTTTCCTACAATACGAACTCCAGACATTTTATGTGCTTGGTCGGAATCCGGGTATTTAAAATGAAGGCAAGAAATAAACAAGCAAAAGAACAGAGTGTTTGTTTCTGTCGTCTATCCAGCGCACAGAAATCAGGGATGATATCTGAAGAACTAGATCAGCATTCGCCTGGAGCTTTCTGGCTGCATGGGCAAGCTGTGAGCCAAGACACAGTGTGGGGAGCCGCATTAGTGTGACTCCAGTAATATCTCTGAATCTGCTGAGTCAAAGTGCTCCTTCCAGTGAAGGTGGGAGTGTTTCTGTAACATCAGGAACCGCAGTATATCTGCTGAATCACAGTAAACTCTTTCCAGTAAAAGTAGGGCTGTCACTGTAACAGCGCTGTACTTCACGAGTCACTGCACAACAAGACATCTTATGTGGTGCAAAAACATTAAGCCCAGTGACTAAAAACCTGCTTGCCTTGAATGTCAGTGCTACAATGCATGAGGGGAGGGGTGTTGTTTTTTTTCCCTGAGATTTCGATCTTTTCACTACTGGAAGCAAGCAACAACCCTTTATAAATGCAGCTGAGCCTCATCTGTCACACACCTCTCTGCTGAGTCACTTTGTTCAGGCTAATTTTGCAAGCCTCACCCAATGTGACCTCCCATTGGCTGAAGGTTCTGACACCGTTCTTTCTGATTGGCCGTGAGTATCTGTGAACCAGCTGTCCTTTGCCACAGATGGTTCTTAAAGTCACATTGACCTCCAAAAGAGGGTACCTGGGAATCCAGTGAATGATCCCCTGTAAGACTGAATATGCACATATCCAGCTTGACCCTCTCCTTACCTACTCCAAATGTCGGTTTTGGAGGAAAGAATTTCCTTAAACACCCTAGTTTTACTCACCTGTTGCTATGGAGTAAACCTTCCAGTAGAAATGTCCATGCACTTAAAGTTCCAAAATGGAACATTGACCTCTGACATGAGACCATAGCATGGAGACTTTTCCCAGCAAAGGTTGGAGAAACAAGATTTCGAAAGCCATGCTGGAAAGGATTGACTGTGTGCTGTGAATTACGATGAGGCTGAAGCTAATGGGAAGTTGTTTAAACATGTCAGTAATTGACAGTACTGCGTAATCCCACACACTGTGGATTACCATCTAATACAAGAGATGGCCTGTCTTTATACATTTACTGTTCAATGGCCCACTCTACCCCGTACCCCTCTGAGGACTTACAACACAGGTCTATCACTCTATTTTGCAGAAGATTTATGTGAATCATACCTTCTGTAATTCTGCTCCCCCTGGTTCTGTGCCCTGGCCCCCTTCCAGTGCGAAACACTGCATGATAAGCCAAGACGTTAAATCACAACTTGTCGTGGCACCGTTCTCATGAATAAAAGAATCCATAGGATTGGACAGCACATTGGGGCAGTAGATCTACATAGCACCAATGTGGAAGAAACAGCCACAGAGGAACATGGATGGTGCATAATTATACAGAAAAGCAGGACAGGGTGAGACCTGCATATGTCTGAAGTGCCATAGTGCAGCTCTAGGGTAACGGGAGGCCTACATCTACATGTATATGTGCCGTGCATAGCCAGTAAGCAAGGTTCCAGAGAGTGCTAGCTGTTTCCTTTTGAGATGAGCCTCTCAGAGTAGTCCTTGCTAGCAGAAGGCAAGACCCCATCCCTACCCCTGCCCGTTCTCCACTTTGGGCTAAACATGAGGAAGCTATTGCGATATCTCATCATGCACTAAGAAAACAGAGTTTATTAGAATCAAAGATTCTGCGCAGATGAAACACATTGACGGAAAAACAAACATCAGTAGAAGTTCAGGTTTTGTTTTGTGTTTGAGCCAAGACAACAAGGACAGTTACATAACATTGAAAAATAAATCTTATGCTTAACAGTGAGACTTAACAATAGACTATAGTCAAAGATAATCATTTTATTTTCTACTAATAATGAGATACATATTTTATTGAAAAAAAAATGTGCCGACAGACCTCAGTGGCTCGTTCATAAGTCAATGCCACTTGATTAAAAATATCCGTTCAACTCTAAATATTTTGGGGGAAAAGAAAATAAGTCGCATGGAATATTTTGAAACATTTTTTATTCGTCATGAGGTGACACGTTTCCCGTCAGCGACTCGTGCCAGTTTCCGTCTGGCACAGACACGTGGTTCACCACGCCGCTCATCAGGCACCTCCTCCTCGTCGTCTTCAGAACCGAGACGTGTTATCTAGCCTATTCTGTTCATTTCAGTGAGTATGGGATGAGTCATGTTCAGTAATTTTATAATTATACTAATTGAGGCTTATGCCCATAATATACAAATACAGAAATGTGTATGCTGAATAAACATTATGATTATACAAATTTAGCACCCGTGTATTAACGTATAATTATAACATTACGCATTTTCATTCTATAGGGTAAATCTGAGTGTAGTTTCAGTTTCATAAACTCTGAAACCCAGGGCGACTAGTTGTTTCTCAGAAGCCCAGGGGACGCTGCATATTGAAGTTCTGTCCTTATTTAACTGGTTTCCCATCTAGTATCACCTGGTGAAACATTAATCGCTGTATTCCACAACAGTGGGACTTAACACCAATTCTACGTTCCAATGTCCATGTAAAAAACTTAATGAAATATTAACGCGGTAGAAAAATACACTTTTGAAAGGTGAAAATTCTTGTATAAATGTCAGGCCTAGAGACCGTAATTAAGGCCAGTCCATGTGTGTTTTTTAGATTTATTAGTTAGGACAGTTCAAAAACATGTTAAGTATCAACGTCATTATGATTTATAACGATTCCGTTTAATTCCCTGCAAACGACTGATAGTATAAATATAACCTAAATCATCTCAATCCTGGGTTGGCTATTACTAGTTCTAGTATTTTTCAGTTGTAAAATCGTGAGCTGGGGCCTTATGCACCACCAAGTATATATACTTAGCTTAATTTATGCGAATTTCTAATGAAATAAGGGTAGTAAATAAGCAAGCAAATAAACATGTAACTGCGCTAAATAAGGTGTGAGTTCAGCGAAAATACTGCCAGCTCACACCAACGTAAACGTTTGCTGGGAAGTGTAGTCCATATATTTAAAGAGCACACGCCCCGAAATGAGAAGCTCCGGGCCGCGTTTCACTGGGCTGTTCGACGTGTTCGGAGACGCTGGAATAAAACCAAAATGATCCGAGTGTCAAACCGCATGTGTTCCTGATTAAGCTCGCCTGGCCAGCCGTCCGCGTCCGGTCCCACGGATTGCCGTGAGAGAGGACATTGGCTCGTGCGCCTGGCACTCACGCGCACTAGGAGACGGGCGTCACCGCCGGGCTTTGACGTCCGGCTCCATTGGCCAGCCGCGGCTGATCGCGTCATCTGCCCGGCCAGCTGATCGGAGTTAGAAGCCGGTTGGGAGGCAGTCGGGCTGGGACCTGCGTTGGGAACCTTGAGAACCGACAGAAGTGGGACTAAATCCAGGGTTAAGGGAATGGTGACAGCTCAACTTTGCTGCGTAAGTAGACCAAGAAACTTATAAACGGATAGAATATCACCCGTTTTAGTTACGGTGACGTTCAGTCCGTGGAATTTTTCCGCTTTTTCATGAATTGTCCCGAGTTGAGCGAGGGCTAAGGTGGGGCTTTGGGTCAAAAATCTGTCTCGGTAATTCCTTCCTCACGACTTATTGATTCCGTACATCGATAGAATGACTTATTATTCAGTCGGCGTTTGCGTTAAATCCATTTTCTTTCTCACACACCTTAAAATTGGCCAACATATTACGCAGCTCGTTCGGTGTCGATTTCTGATGAAGTTACCGAGGGGTTTTAATTTTTTTTCGAAATTTAGGCCGAATATAGTTACAACTACGATAATAAATGGCCGGATTTGTCAGTGAGACTAGGTGCTGAACAAAACCGAATGCTGCTGGGAGATAAACGTTATTAAAAAAAATATGGGTGGGGGGTGACAGCGATGTGGTAAAACAGCCCCCCTCCCCATATCGGGTGGCAAAAGTCTACCAGTGACCCTCGATGCTTGATCCTGATAGCGCTGGGTATAGCGGAAGACGAGTCGGGACTGAAAGTAGGTACAGATACCTTCAGGAAGCAGAGAGGCCAAGCTGTCCGTGCATGTGCGTCTAAAGCGAAGAGAACTCTATAAAAGGTAGCGTCTATAACAGAGGCGAGGCTGCCGAGCTGGCTGCCCCCCCTCCCCGGCTCGCACTTTACCAACTGTTACAATGTACCGCACCGAAATGCTCCCTTATTTCAGCCGAGGCTGAAACCGGCGGATATTATCCAAGACGTCGCTCGCAGTTCGCCACCGGATTGCGGGCCAGGGAAACACCCTGTTCTCCTAGAAGTAAGCGCTTGCGGCCAGTGCGTTTGGACCAGACCGGTCCTTCCAGCACACTGTCTCCAGGGTGCCGAGGGATCGTCTGACCAGACCAAACCGGAAAGTTCTGGAGAGTTATCTTCAAAATGTCGCTACGTTTTTTCCCCCATTATTTTTTACATTTAACATTTAATATCCAGGTGTTTCCCTCAAATCAAGTTAGGTGCGTACTTCAAAGCCGTCCTCCCTAACTTGTACGGATATAAAATAATTAAGATCAAACAGGCCTTTGAGTTTTAATTTAGGATTACTTCCGACCATCGGTCTTCTAACCGCTTTTCCTGTTGAGGGTCGCGGGATTTAAGGTTAAATGTAGATTTAAATAGCCGGTGTGGCTTGGTTTTTTAACGCTAGCGCCCCTAATTGGCTATCTTGGTCACGGAAACCTTCCGTAGATGTGGACTAAAGCAGTATAATTTTAAACTAAACAAATCCTGACAGAGTACACCCCCAGTGCCTGAAGGTGAATTCCTGCAGACCGCACCCTTCACGATGCTACGTGATCAGCTTTACCCTAAAGCCAATATAATGAACTGTTGCTTTATTTAATAGGAAGCTTAATTTTTTATTGGGGGAGGAAAAACAACTCTCCCGAGTCTGGCACTAACCAGAAGATACAGAGTAAACGTAGTATTTTCAGGAAAAGTACACGCATGTTGGATTCGCCCTGGATCAAATCCTGCTCTTGCGTTACTCCTGGGAAATTCCGGTCCGGCCCTGAAAGCTGCGAAACGGCCTTATCTTTCACTGCCGGACAAATCGCGAACATGTTTCTCCTTCAGGGCGCTGTAACGGCCCGAGACGCCTGCGCAGGCCGCAAAGGCTAACCTAAAATTCTCTTTCCCTCTTAATTGGAAACAGGAATTATGTAAGTTTGATGCAACTCACGCTTATGCAACTACTAGACTTAACACTTTGGACAGTTCAAATACTTTTCCCTTCTCTCCCTTGTGTGTGGGAGGTGGAGATTGGTCGTTAACCCCGCTTTCCCCCATTCCTGCACACACGCCTAACGTGTAGAACCTTGTGGTCTTGTTCGAGGAGTCTAGAAAATGCAGTCTTTCCCTCTTTACGAGCCAGCATGACTTGGCATTTTGCGTTCAGTTTCCCCATCTGTTTGGAATGACAGGAGGCGGCTGTCTGAGTTTTTTTTTTTTTTTCTTCCATAATGAGACGCGACTGTGGTCTGTCCTGGGGAGCCGACGGCCGGTTTGCCGTGCCCCTCCCTGCTGTTCCTCAGCTGCCCGTTGACACTGTTCCTCCGGCCGTCCTTGTCGCTCAGGCCGCCATGGAGTGCAAGGCGGCTCGCGGCTGTGCTGATTCTGCCTACTGCTGGATAGTGCCGTGTCGTTCGGATTACAGTGCCGCCACATTAAACAGTGCCTCTCCTCTGTGTTAATGTTGTGGGGAATTGGATTTACGCTGGTACCGAGGTCACTAACCAGGCAAAGTGTTCCAAATGGTAACCGGATAAGCTAGTGGCAGGGAAGGTTTAGCCAATCCACACATTATAATGATCTGGGGTTATTTTTCTCCTGCTTCCTTAGTGTTTTGCCCAGGTTAGTCACTGCTTTACTGTACTGTAATTAGTTGCTGGTTTTCTCAGGTACCTGATTGGTCAGAGATGTGGGTACAGTTATGGAAGCAGAAGTAAAGACTGTTTGTTTGGTGGCTGTCCTTCACTGCCAAGCTTTTTCTCACCTACAGAGGGCAAGATGGGGTAGGCGAGAAGAGAATTTCCCCACAGGGATCAATAAAGTATAATCATAATTTTGCAGGAAAACATTCCTTATCTCCCGAAGAAGGAGGAGTTGTTGCATCTTGTATGAATTGGGGGTTCAGGCATCTGGGTTACAATGGGAATAATTCATGCCGAGAACTTAATTAGCCCTGATTACCTTTGGGATAAATGGATTTGTCCAATTAACCTGAACAGGTTTTGGTGGTGATGTTGAGTCTTTTTCTATTTAATTTGTGTTGGTTGGACAGTCGTATGAGTGAGGACTGAAAAATGAATGGTCTGCTCTATTGAAATATTTCCAGTTATTGGATTTTTTTGCTGAAACCCAAACAAGCTCAGATAATCCCGCACTCCGATGTCTGTGGCCATGACATTGTGTCCACGACGCTCCGGAACTATGTCACCCCATGAGCTACCTGCGGTATCCATGGCTACAGCGATCAGCATCATGTGATTGCTAACTCTACAATACTACTTACCCAAACCCTTGGGGTGGTATTTCTGCTTCTGTGGTTGGCTGGAGATCAAATCCCAGATGGATACAAGTCCATTGTTTCAGTTTATTATTGTAAATTTGTGTCCTTTGTCGACTGATTTCGGGGTCAGCATTTGTGGTGTCCTTTCATCCAAATGTGGCAGGCCTTTTCCCAGTCTTCTGACCCATATAATATGCAGACTTGAATTATAGCTGGTTTTACTTACTGTACCATTTTGCATCTGCACTGTCATTCTGTGTCTGTAGGTATAAGTCCAGCCTTTTTTCACGGCAATGTCCTGCTCCTAGGTCACCCCTGGAATCCCCAGCCTTCAGGCATTTCTGCTTGCCCACCCAATATTGCCTTCCCGGTCCCGGGGGTGACAAGCTTGGACAGATTATGTAGTTTTGCATGTCTGCTAAGATACCCAGGATGCACTGCCAAAGTGATGTCAGACAAGATTAGTACACTGACAATCAGCGTCGCTTGACACACACCCAGTGGGGCATCGTCATGTGTCTGACTTGGGTTGGGGTGGTGTTTGCTGCAGATGACTGGGAGGATGAAATGACCCTGATCGTTTGATTAGGCCCTTTGGATACGGGCCAAAACTGTATGGCCACTAGGGGACCTTGACCATCAGTCCTGTTGCAGCCTGGAACAATGTGAAATTTAAGACCCAGAGTAAATGTGAAGCATCCCTGCCACAGACTTTTCCTACTGTGCTGTAGTCACTCTGCTTCAGCCATTTCCTTTCTGAAGCTGGATGTACGGTTACTTAAACATTCAGACACAAAAACACGGCAGCTTTAAATTGTAGCAGGAGTGCTGCTGTCCTTGTACAGTTCAGAAACAAATGCTCAGGAAATGTTTTTTTTTTTTTTTTCTCTCCTCCCAAAGTGACTGATAGTGACTGACATTTCACCTGGCTCCATGTACCTCAGCTGTTTGATGTTATGGGATCTGAAACACCCTTACATTGTCAATGCCTTGTCCATGACAACCTTTCTACGTGCTTTCATATGCCCTTGGGTTTTTTTTTTTTTTTAAATCCTGAGGCCCACTGTGCATGTGTGTGTCCCTCCCCATTCCCTCAGATAGAAAGCCTGTGTGTCAGTGTTAATCTGGAAGTCCAGTGTGCCTGACTTCTCCCTCCTGATCTCTGCTTCCTGGTCTGGGGCAGGCTGGGTAATCCAAGTACCAGATCTGAAGCTTGTCAGGTCACCCTGCTGTCACTGTCCCTCCGCTGGCACTGCTGCAGAGCTGTCCTGCCTCCAGCTGTTTTCCTGAGTGACTGGCAGCTCTCTGCGCCTCAGCCCTGATTAGATTCTTGGCCACTAAGGGACACCCACATGGCGCTCCACCACCGATGGCTTCCGGCGACCTGACACCCTTCGACCGTTCAGCAGCTGACTGCTGGAAAATCTATTGGGGGAAACTGAGATACAGTAAGATTTTGGTAATGTTGTCATGACCATACAACACTGACCTGTGGGCTTAGGTGTCAGGGGGGCTATTGGTTGTATGTATGTGTGTGTGTGTGTGTGTGTATCTATTTATACATGTTTCTGTAATCATTACATTGTGGGGACCAGATTTTCCCCATACACCTTTAACTTTTTACCCTGTGGGGACATTTTTTCAGTCCCCACAAGGGTAACCTCAGTTTTATAAAAATCTGTGACTGCAATCAAAAAATGCCAAACGTCTTGTATTTGGTTTGGTTATTTAAGGTTAGGGCTGGGTAGGGTTAAGGTTATTCAGATTAGGGTTATGCCCATATAAATGAATGGAGAGTCCCCATAAAGATATGAATACACGGACTGTGTGTGCATGCTTGTGTTCAACCTGAAGCACTTAAATATGGGATATCCTTTGACTACAAATAATATGCAGAAAATAGCATCTTGTTCAGTAGAGGAACAGAACAAGGACACAAACATGGCCCTGGACTAGTTTAGAGAGCTGGCTGTTCAGGGTTGACACAAACAGGCTGGAATTTCTGCAGCTGACTCTGCATGTAAATTCACAGAAAGAGCGAGTACTGGCATGGACCTTCAAGTAGTACATCAAAGTGACTCTTGCGTGAATGTCTAAGTGAGGTAGAAAGTACAAATCCAGACCAAGATTTTGTTTCAGCCAACCAGTTGAGTACTGTCTGACTGTGATTGTCTATACTTAACGGGTTGGTTGAAACAAAATCTTGGTCTGGATTTGTACATTCCGAACCTGAACTTTCCACCTCTGGGGACGGCAGTAGTTCTGCCCTGCCAGCTCCACTTGCCCTTCTGTTAGGAACTTGTATGTGTAGAGCTGTTCCCATGGTGGGTCCCTGCCTGTTCGTACTATTCTGCTGGCTTGCTGTCAGAGATGGTCCGTGTGTCTATGTATTACCCTCTAAAGCAGTGTTTCCCAATCTGGTCCATGTTTTGCTCCCTCCCAGCAGCCTAGGAGAGAGCAAATATGTGGACTCTTTGTGGGTCCCCGAAGACCACATTGGGGAAACATTGGTCTACGCCAAGGTTTCTCAACCCAGTCCTCGGGGACCACCAGACGGTCCACGTTTTTGCTCTCTCCCAATTGGCAGGGAATTGGGAGAGAGCAAAAACATGGACCGTCTGGTGGTCCCCGAGGACCGGGTTGAGAAACCCTGGTCTACGCTGAAGCCTCTGAAGGAGAGCAGGGGGTCTGTATGGTTGGGATCCTTCTGGGATGGACCTCCCTAGTGGTGGTAAGTTTCGTTTAGCTGTTTGACCGCCCTGTGCTGACTGTCCCTGTGTGTCCCTACCAGGTCTGCACCCCCACGCAGACCCAGACATGCGTGTGTCTGTATCCCTGCTGCTGGAGATACTCGGCAGTTCTTCACCGGCGAGCTTTAAGTCCATGTTCACCAGCTAAAGCTGCCCGCTGAAGAGCTGCTGGGCCCAGCTCTGACCTACAGGAGAACACGCAGGAAGAGGATTCCAAGGGATGGGAACATATGCCACAAGCTGATATTGACCCTGTTGGTGTAGAAGATGCCTTGGTTCCCTTTATGGTGGCACCTAACATGGGTGAGGCTGGGAGTATATATGTACGAGTTTGTACTAAAAACAAACATAGCCGCTGCACAGGAAAGGCAGTGAGCAAAGGCAAGACTGAAAGCAGAGGCTGGAAATAAGTGTTGGCAGCTCCGGAGAGCCAGTCTCTCTCTCATGCTTAGATTCCCTGTCTCCTCATTGCTCGGTGACCTTGCTGTACAGTGACTTGCTCCCCTAACTGTGTAAAAAATCTATGCCTCTCTAACTTTGTCTTGTAAATAAAGACTGAATTTGTCTGGAGACTGATTTTAGTGAAGTCTGTCCATGTCACTGAAAATAAAACACTGCTGACTTCTTAAATGGTGGCCAGGATGTCACAGATTGTTCAGGAATTTTTACGCACCTCTTCACCCTGCTGTTTTGTACACAGTCACTGCATCATGCACTCATGATACCAAACATATAAGAGATAGAAATAGGACTGATATCTAGACAGGTTGGTGGACCTCAGAGGTACCTTCCAACCCTGAAAAAGGGAAGCTGCTATGAAAATATGAATCTGAAAATATATGTACATGTGCACAGTGATGTATGTCATGAAATAGCTGTGTGAAGGGTCATGAGCATGTGTGTGTAAGCATGTTTACTGTCACCTGAGAGCAGAGGTATGTAAGTAAAAGGTCATGTGTGAGAGGGGTAATTTGGAGTGGCATGGGCCTCTATCCTGTGGCTGGTTAATCTATTACAAATCATACTCTCTTACCCCACCAACAAGGCCCCTACTCTGCCCGGCGCGTCCAGGTTGAGGGTCTGTTGCCTGGCTCTGTTTGAACAGCCCCTCCCCTGCTGCTCAGACCAGGAGAGCAAGAAGGAGAATCAACACTACAGCCCCAGCATTATATAATATTCCCTCCAGGAGGAAATAACAGCCAAATGATTCTCTATGTACCGTGTCATGTACCTATTTCCCCCCGTTTCTTAAATATTTTTTTTATAGTTTTATTTGGGTTTTCTTAATGTGCTGTATTATGTTCTTCAGGGCTACCGTAGTAACGCGTTCCGCCAAGGCAGCGCAATGGCTCTATCTACAATGTTGTTTTATACGTGCACTTAGTCGTTTTACTAAAGTCTCACATTTAAGGGCACCCCCAGGGAAATTTATAAGATTTTCCTGGTACGCTCAGCTGGTTGCAGGACAGCTTAACTGCGCTGTAGTTTTATGTTTGAAATACTAGTGCGGCATCAGTAATAGATCTGTAAACCGCTGAGGTTCTGTGTGGATGTATGTAATTTTTGAGTATGAAAATCGTTAATCAGTTATTTTTCATGGGATGACCCTTTTTAAAATGTACCTTTAACACGCAGTACCCCAGTGCCGCTGAGAAAAGCAACCTGTGGCGCATACGTTGCTATTCACCTCTCCGCCATCTACTAGAGAGCTACTAGAAATCTACTAGTAATTTAATCGGAAGTCCTGTCTAGTGACGCGCAGACAATACTATACATCACAGGCATATAACTGTCAATGAGCCAGCCGTATACGTATGATCGCTGACAGAGCTTACAACCAATAACAAGTGCATTGCAACATTGTAGCTACACAAAACATTTTTTACAATGTAACATCAGAAGATCTAGTCAAATAAAAATCACATTCCACTATAGATAAATGTAAAATACGGAAGAAGAGCATCTACTGTTGCCATGAGCAACAGTTTAGTTTGATATGGGAAGGGGGGATCAATTTAATAATCTATACACAAAGACCTATTTACTTGGGGGGGTGTGAATGAAGCCAAACTGTATACTGGGGGATTCACGCCCCCTTCCCCTCGACTCCTACGCCCCCTGCCACAAGACGACACAACAGTTCAATAGTTATTAGTGGGGTGTGTTCAGCTACATAAAGTGTTCCCAGAAATCACGAGTCTTCAGAAGTTTCTAGGTAACAGAAAAACAATGTCACTGAAAACGTCATTTTCAATACTATAAATTTAAACGTCGTCATGTTTGTGTTCGTTCCGTAAATCGCGCAAGTCACCGACTGCAGCTGTGCGCCCTCAAGATCTGGGCTACTTCTGTCCCTCCCTTCTTAATGAGTGAACTGGATAGTTAGATTAAAAGTACGATTGTAAGTCATTTTTTTGTACTAAGATATTTTTTTAAGATTTTATAATTATTAATACACGAACAACTGTTTGAACGATGTAAAATAGCCCAGTTAATATTCTTTACTATTGTTTAATTTTATAATAGCTCGATCTTATGGTCGTGCTCTCAGAAAAGGATTCTTTCATACCCAAGTTAAGACTCATTGAAGGACCTAACGAATAACCGCACAGTGCGGACGCGATCAATTCGTTCACTTAAAATATTCGTTCGGAAAGAACTAACGTTCACGAACAACACAAATAACTAAATATTATAATGCGCCCGGCCTTTGAGAGCCAAAGTCACGAACACTGTATACTCTCTACTGTGCTGTATACAGGGCTGAAAATTAAGCTCACCCACGCACCTAAGGCGAGTAATTTAAGCCTACAAAAAACTGAAGAACATGAGTCATATATGAATGAAGTTCCACCGATGGCTACATGCAGTAAATGTTTCCGTCTTGTGTCTTATCGCCTCTCATGACTGTTTTTTTTTTTACATTGTCTTTTCACAAAACCGCACAATTAACGACAAAATACACACGCCATAATCATTCGCAATCATATGACGAATCTTTTTAGACCCACACAAACAAATGCTACAGTACCGTAAAGCAGATGCGGTACGGTAGTAATGTCACTAGATGGCGATCTTTCCATATTTAAGGGTTTAGTCCGACCGTACAAAACCGCTTACACATATATAAAAAAACAATCGCCAGCAAATAATAGAATACAAGCCTTTCTGCTAATGCTTCAAGCATTATATAAAATAGTACTAAAGAGAAAACTTAGATGATGATGTGTAAAACTGATTCATAACGCAGGAGCTCAATAATTCCCTGAACGGGTCTCCAACAGAGCGGGAATCCCTGCATTGTCGGCAGGGACAACACTGCTGACTAGATAAAGCCCAATAAACTAAATCACATCAAATATAACCGTTAGGAGTTGAATTATCGCACATTTACGCAGTTAAATAATTGATGTTTCTATGGATGATATTCAGTAACCTATGCGGTTTGCCTTAATTATTGATATAATTATCGATATTTCGTTTTAAAGTTGCAATCGCATTTCACAGTGAGAAATTCATTATCATCAATCTGTTTTAACGAATATCGACAAAATGACCGGATGTTAGACTGCTTTGTATGAGCCTCTTGGTACAGTCGTGTAGTACAGCATGGTGTGCGTCAGGCTGCGGGGTTGTATTCCGTCGGACTTGGGCAGCTGACCAACGAACGGCTACAGATGGTACTTTTACATTTCGTGAACACATGCCTACGTCGCAGTCGCAGTCGGACAGGACAGAATCGGCTTCGGGACCATGTGAGGAAGCTGCCAGGCTGGAAGACACGCGCCTTCTCCGGGACCAGCTCATCTCCATCACTCCATAGCTGATGCAGAACCGTGCGTCTTAAATCACTCCCATTGGCTGCTGACTCTTAAACCTCCTGCCACTTTCTGTCATCATAAACTTCTTTTTTTCCTGACTATATATATTTTTTAATGTTTGGAGTTCGACGACATAGCAGCCAGACAAAAACGGGGCGCTGGGAAAGCGCATTGACGGTGGAAGGGGGTCGCTCCCGTCCCGTCCGCCGGCTTCGATGCAGTTGTGGACTGCTGGCATTTAGGCTTCGCGGTCCACGAAGAGACCATTTTCAATTTATTATCCCGTTGTTTGGAATATATTGCAGTATAGGGGAATTTATTTCAAATCAGTCACTTAAGTAATTTAACGTCGTGGTAAGATATTCGGATGTTTTGTTGCGGTGTTTAAAAAACGTTCGGACAAAACCCTTTTTAAAATCAAATTTATTATCATTTAGGCTATAATAACACCCATTTCGCATGGGTAGTTGGTAGTTGGATATTTTGGTAAATATACAGGGGTATATATATTTTGTGCTTTTTCCATTCATTAAAAAAAATAAATAGGTCCTAACATGGCAATAGAAACAGATGCGGAATTTGAGAAGGCTGTTTCTGGAGGAAAGGGAACAGCGCCGAGCAGCGAGTCCCAAGAGACGGAGAAACTTCTAAGGGTTGCAGCCCCGGACCCCTCTCGCCGACGCGACCTGCGGCTCTCCACCTCCTTTACAGCCAGCCTGGGTAGCACCAAGTCCCTGGATGCGGATCAAAATGGACACAGCGCTCCGCTGCGCTCCGGGTCTGTTGGGCACCTTCGGGTGCCGCCCATGTCCCCGTCCCGCGCCAGCTTGCGGAGCCGTGCATCCTCCACGGGAACGGCCGCCGGTGACCAGCCCAAGCCACGGGATTACCTGCTACTAGCCGCTCTCTCCTGTTTTTGTCCGGTCTGGCCCATCAACATAGTTGCACTGGTCTATTCGATCATGGTGAGTTAATGTGTAAGGGGCGCTTATCCGGTTGTGTGCTATTAACAGATCCGATTTGGATATGATTTTAATCTTCAAATGCATAAATTAATATGATCAAGATACCATAAAATGCGTATCCTAACTTATCCTAAATTATAATATTATATCTGAACCTCCAAAACTTGAATCGCTTTGCTTAACTAAATTGACGGGTGTCCCAGGTTCATCACTCAATTTACATTATTTTGAAGGTACCGGTTAAATTTACATTCATCGGTGTTTAATACATGTTCTTATGGTATGGAAAACCTAATTTTTTTTATTAAAATGTTGCTTAGAAATTGGTATGCGTTTTACTGTAAACCGACTAATTAAAACTACGTGGATGTGACAGAGGGGGATGGATTATTAAGGTATGATACAGCTACGTTACCGGCGTACAGGGCGTCTACATTAAACCAGCAGGAGGAAACGCTGCGCGAAGACTACGGGGCGACGCAATTTTACTCAAGTTAGCCAAGCAGCAAGTGATTATTTACCAAGTCAGCCATCAGGGAACATGCGCAAAACGTATTATGGCCCGAGTATATTCTTGTGCGGCTCAAGAAAAATGAGCTAATTTGAAAACAGGGCAGCATGGACCGCAAGCACGGATTGTGGTCCCACTGGCAGAGGTATCGATCTGCTCTCTCCTTCAACGCTAAATTGAATGCTTCACCCACAATCAAAAGCTGCGTGACTAAACGTTTGGCACGAGTTCCTGGCCGGAGAGGGGGACCGATGGGGATCAAGGCTTCTGGCTGATTTTACAAGGGTTTTAACACGCTGATAACGAAGTCACAGATAGTTTACCTTGGGTACTTTGAGTGGCATGTGCCATGGTACTTGTCTATCATTTATGGAACATTTATGCTGTGCCTACCTTAGATGGGTGTAACAATGAGACTTTAGGAATGAAATATGACGTGGTGCGCACGTGCGTTGGTATGCAAATCTGCTTGCATTAGCAGCCTTCCAGTGTAATACACTATTCGCCCACCCCCAACTAAAAGCAGTTTCTCCACCTCCATCAAACTTTCCAGGGCCTGCATTATTAATGCCAGCTGAAGCCAGTGAGAAAGCACTTACCACACCACCCCAAAGAGGCCCTTTTCCTGCTTGGAGTCGGGGGCAGAGCAGCTCGGACTTCGCAGTGTTTAGCTCGGCTTCCGCATTAAAGTATTTTGTCAAAGACGTTATTTGAACGGTAGTTCACCAGTCAGATAATCAATCGTGCTTAACACAGTGCCAGCAGGCAGCTGTCAGAGGATTTTGAAGTAGATTCTGCATGCAGAGTGACTGAAAAACAAAGACCAGGTTTAAGGAAATATTGTCCGATCTTTAGAATTTAGTCATGAGACTGGTGGGGACTAGTAGTGTCTGAAATGTACAAAGTACAGATCAGACTTACCGTTATGAAGTGGAGAGAGTTAAGAGTAACGCCACAGATCCTGTAGCCATTGTAATCCGGTGACCTGTCAGGAAAAAAAATTATTGTAGCATCATAACATAATTCACCCCTGTGCAAATTAATTGAAACAAGTTGTCACACAGACAAGCATGCAGTGGCCTGGGACCTGCTGGTTTGCACAGCCAACAGGACAGAGAGGACGCAGAGTGGATGGACAGAGGAGGCACTGTGCCCACAGACTGGCAGGCCTGCTCGGGTGGAGTTAGAGCTGGGTGGTTTGACTGAGTGGATGGACAGAGGAGGCACTGTGCCCACAGACTGGCAGGCCTGCTCGGGTGGAGTTAGAGCTGGGTGGTTTGACTGAGTGGATGGATAGAGGAGGCACTGTGCCCACAGACTGGCAGGCCTGCTTGGGTGGAATTAGAGCTGGATGTTATGACTGTGCTTCAGCCATCCATGTATGTTTCAAGTGAATCCTCTGGGGTTCGGGCGCCTCCCTGTGTTGTCGTGGGGTTTCCTCCAGGTTCTCTGGTTGCCCCCCACAATCCAGAAATATCCTAAGGTTAATTGGAGTTGCCAAATTCCCCATAGGCATGAATGGTGTGTATGCTCTGCGATGGATTGGCGCCCCATCATGGATTATTCCCCATACAATTTTTATCAATCCACCAGGTCCTAAATCCGCACCCAGGGTATGAATGAATTAACATTTGAATGCTCTAAGAAAGGGGTCATACACAATGCGGCACACAAAGAACCACAGACAGAGCTGTCATCTAGGTACTCAGACCGGCAGGTTTACTACTAACGTTCCAGCAGCTTCACTCACGGCCCTGAAGCAGAGTTTAAAAAGTCACCATTTGAAGGTGTTAAACTGGGAACATGGCAGCCGGTATGGGATGGGGCACAGCGGTGAAGCCTCAGCCCCCGCACACCCTGATGGGATCAAAGGAGCAGGTCTGACCCAGATCAGAAGCCCTGCTGGTTCACATCAATGAGAGATCACACACACACACACACACACACGCAGAGCCAGCTGGCAGGATACAAAGCAATGCGAGCATTAGTGCAGCAGAGATATGTGTAATAGTGCCTGTCTGGGTAAGACAGAGCATGTATGCAATATAGTGTGAGAGAGTGTGAGATAGAAGCGTCTCAAAATATGTGTGTGAAGCAGAGTATTAATGTTGCAATATGCAGTACTGTGCAAAAGTAGGCAGTCAAATTGTTTAATGCTATTTATCTGGGTAGTAAATGTGTATTTGCTCAGATCAAAGAACACAATTTATCATTAAAACATAAGCAAATTAACAGTGACACGGTAAAAACTAGCAAGATTTTTTTCTGTTCTCCAAAGATACCTTGTTGGATGGCTAGATGAACCTTCTCCTCAGGGGCACCTCAGCCATTCCATGCATTTGTTACATTTCACCACCAGCTCAGTTAATTAATTAATTAATTGTAAGGTGTGTTAGTGGCTGAGAGGAAAAGTACAGGGGTGTGTTGGATGGATGTTGCAAATACTGGGGTGACTGTAGGAAAGTTTTTGAAGTAGAGAAGTTGACACCCTGACTTTCTTTGCCTAAGGCTTTTGTACAGTACTGTATGTGAGAAGAAATGTGTGTGCATGTGTTCCCATTCATCTTCATGTACGTCATCCTAAGCCTGCTGAACATCAGCAGAAAATGTGAGAAATGAACTCAGAATACTTCAGGATCACCATGCCTGGTACAGTAACTCTGCAGGGATGACTGAACGTGCCGTCAGCATCTTCAGAACAGCCCGAGCTGACCATCACTTACATAGCAAAGAACACTGATGTAGCCTAGCGCACTGTGACCTGCTGTGACAAGTGACAGTCACACGTCGCAATATGTCACAATCAGAACATGACCAACTTGTTTGAAGATGTAGTGCTTCCCGAGTATTAAGTTATGTGAAGATGCAGTGCTTCCCGAGTATTCACTTATTTCAAGATGCAGTGCTTCCTGAGTATTCACTTATTTCAAGATGCAGTGCTTCCTGAGTATTCACTTATTTCAAGATGCAGTGCTTCCTGAGTATTCATTTATTTTAAGATGCAGTGCTTCCTGAGTATTTCACTTATTTGTCTATTTAAGGGTGTGACCATGGAGCTCATGTTTCATTTATTTGTAAATATTCTTGTTATTACCTCTTATGGGATATGCAGTGACTGATCTTCATCTGATGTGACCCCTCCAGTCCAGAAACAGCTTACAGCAAGGGGATGTGGATGGGGCCCGACGGCTGGGGCGCCTGGCTCGCCTCCTCAGCCTGTTCTGCATCATTCTGGGCCTGCTTATCATTGCCGTTTACATCACAGTCACAGGTGCGCCACCTCGACATGCCCAGTCACGGAACACTGATGGGAAAACCCCCAGACCTATCACTTTTAAAGGGGCGGTCACCTTGACAGTCATATCACTTTTAAAGGGGCGGTCCTCACACCTGTCGCTTAAGTGGTTCAGTCAACAATGCAGTGTTTGACTCCTTAAGAATATAAAGCACGATGAGGACCTAGAAGCTCTCAGGAACACTACGTCTTCTCCCTGTCAGCTACACGTTTTCCCTCATGTCTAAAAATACACTCATTGATGGTGATGTGAACTACCTGATGGAGTATGGTCATGTGTAAAGTGCTCACTTCCACTCTCTGTTCCTCTCTCTCAGTTACGAACGTTTACTGACACAGAGGACAGCGAAGAAGCCACCAAAGTCAAGCTCTCACACCGGAGAAAAGGGAAAAATTATCCTTAAAATGAAGGAACCAGGAACCGTCCTCCAGAAAGTCCAAAACAACCATGTTACCAAGCAAAACAAGCAAAATATGGACAAAATCAAGCAAAAAAAGATAAATGCATGCTTCAGGTAATGTATGCATGAACCTGGGACAAAACAAACCCAAAGTGTCTGACTAGGAATGTGGAGGAGGCAATTTTAACAGCAGTGGGGATTAATCTACACCTTTGCTCATCACTCCAACTTTATACAGACGTATTAACTGTATGCATGATGTAAGTTTTATTATGATCACTTTACAGCAGACGCCACTGCATGTGTTTTCTTGAGGTTGTTTTGTACTTTCTACAGAAAAACTTTTTGTAGGCAGAAGATTGTGGATGTGAGGCAAAGATGGTGTCTTTGACCGCCTGCCTGTCCCCCTTTCACTAACTCTGGTCCCTCTGGATGTGTTGACACCTGTGGGGAGGGTCACAGCCACCTGCAGGAGGCAGCCAAGCCTATGGGCCAGTGGCCCAGAATGCTCTGATTGATCCACGAACTCAAGTTTGCTTGCACTTGCGTCTCTTAGCTAGCCCCGCCTCCTACCCATCTGTCAGCTGTAAGCATTAACTGGCAGCAGTGATGTCAAATGAGAACAGTAGCCAGGCCTTTACATGGGCGAATAAATGGTAACTGGGAGATCACCCCTATACTACAGGATATTCCTACCTGTCCTGTCCTGTGGGGGGGAGGGGTGGTTAGTGTGATTATTAGTGTGCTCTTTAGCCAGCAGGGTAATGTTTGCAGCTCATGAGAGGTTTACACAGGAGCCCTATGCAGCCAGTTCAAGCCAGGCTGTATTTGTGGGTGGGTCTGTGTGACAGACGTAGGGTTTTGCTGACCTTTGCACTCTTCCTGTGCTGGTTGCATGTCTGAAATAAAGGTATATGTGCATGGTCTGTATTGGAGTGCTCAATTGTGTACACACACACACACACACACGGGGCATTGGGAAAACAGTGATTTGAATACACCTGGAACAAATCAATATTTTAAAAAAATGTATTCATTTTATGTGAAAATTTACACATACAGTGTTAAAATCTTATGACAGGGTTAGACTAGTCATTAAACACTGTTGAAGAACAGAAGTGTCACACTTGACAGTAGGCGGAACACGGACTGGTTTTGGCCACGCTGTGACCCAGAGACCCGACACGTCCACCACGAACACATCCCACCAGCAGCTGTACCAGCCACCAAGACATAAAAAACGGAACACGATCTGACGGCCTAAAGGCCACTCCTGCAGAGAAACCAAAGTCTCCATTCGCGTGCTGCAGGGGATAATTTCAGTTCAGTAATGATTCTGAAAGCCCTTCCTGTCACACGGCGCCCCCTGCTGTCCCTGCTGTCGGATCCGCCTACCCCATGTGCAGAGCCAGGACAGGCCTGAAAAAGTCCAAATCAGCAGCGCACAGGAACGCCACGGGGGATCTGAATGTGTTCGAGCCAACTTTGGTTTCACACGATAAAACACTTATTAAAAAATAGATGCAAATAACCAGTACAAATATATATACACACACATGCCTTTGTTCTACATGTATGTGTGTGTATATCTATGTATATAATATATTACTTAGTGTATTAAGACACATATTCCTCTTTACAAGGAACATAAAATCAAATATTTAAATAATATATCATTTTCATAAAATCATTCTTGAGCAGTAAATGCCCCCCCCCACCCCCCTACCACCACCTGGAGGCCTTCAGGCCCCTGTAGCTCATCCTGTCTGGGGAAACCCATCGGGCTGGGTTCGCCTTCCTCCGGTACCAAAAGCAAAAATTGCAGTGTAGCACACCCACACCCCTAGCCATCCAATTTGGTCACATAAGTTAATAAGCCCACCGCTGGGGGATCTGTCAGTGAAATGCATAGAGCAGGAGGAGAATGGTGCAGACTCCGATGACTCCGCCCAGAATGAAAGAGTCCCGCCTCTTCCGTAAGTTGATTCGCTGGATGAGGTTGTTGATGGCTGGGAACCGGTCTACAGTGATAGCTGGTTAAAGAGGTATAAACACAGAGCGCATCATTCTGAAAACCAACTAGCTCACTGACTGTACAACCCTCTTAGTTCAGTTAGGATTTTACATGTTATTTCAGCCTAGAACACTGTAAAAAAAAAAAAAAAAAAAAAACTGAAATGACCACCAAACTGAAATTACCATCCAACTGAAATGACCACCAAACTGAAATGTCATAACATTTCTACTGAGCTATGGACAGCTCCAGATGAGGCAAGGAGGATACTGGCCAGAGTGTTGACACGACTCTGAATGGACTTCAGCAACCCACGCTGGGATGTCATGTTCTCTTTGGTTGCCATAGCAATGCTGGAAGAAAGTAATAATAATAATAATAATAATAACATCAGGGCATGAGCAAATGTGTAGATCTGCTCCCACATATCCTCCAAAAGTCTTGGGTCTTCTACTGTCACAAGCAAGCTCACATGAAACAGATCTGCAAAGAACTGCAGAGTATGGCTGAAGATGAAGGCAAAGAGAGAGAGTAGATGGAAGAATAAACAAACTGACATAAAAGCGTCCTTTTGCAGATCATATATGAATTTGAGTGGATGCCTCATACAAGGTCCATGCTGGTGGGGGG